AGATAGAGTTTGGTGGAGGCCTAGAAAGATAGACAGGTAGAGACATAAAGGATAATGAAAAGCAACCTCCTGCATACAACATGGAACTCTATGCAAAAGTATATTAGGTTATTTGTGGAGAGAACGGGTAAAAGAACACCTGAGTCTGTATGGACAGATGGATCGAGTGGCTGTGCGTCTGACAACAAGCTGACCTCGCAGGGAACTCTGTTCCAGTCGAAAATAGAACGTATACAACAGGAGCAAACTACACCCACAGGCCTCTGCTCAACCCCTCCTTCCTGATAGGCTACGCTGGTGTCGCATCCGAGGGGCCTGAGCAGCTGTGGGTCCCAAGGGTGGGCTGTCTCCTGGCTGAGGGAGGTGAGAGCATGGAGATGCAAATGGGCCCTTCCCTGGATCTGGAGGACCTAGTCTTCTGTGCGTGGGACCTCAATTTTCTGATCCAGGCTGGCCCTCCTCCACCCACACGAAGCCTGCTGTCCACCACTGAAGGAAAGTTACATGGCTCAAAATAGCCTGGAGTTAAAATTCCACTCGAGGTCCTTCCCACCATTCTATGCAAAACAAAGAACTCTCTCACCTGACTAAAAAAAATGGACAGTAAGGTTGATTACACCAGCTCCCAGCCAGTCCAGCCTCTGGCTGATCTCCAAAACTCCTTGCCCCAGCAGTTTCAGAGATAACTTACTCCGAACAACCTCAGAGAAGAACAGGTCCCCTGAAGACATAAGCTTTCCACATACATGCCTATATATACTTACTCTTTTCTTAGGTTGGTACAGCAGCTCACTAATCTGACTGCTACCCCTTCTCGCCTCATTAAAGTGACCTGTTCCTGTAAAGTGCCGCTCTAATTCTTTTTCTGAACCTTGCCTTCTCTAACTCCCTTACCCTACATTTTGGGTGCCAAAACCCGGGAGCTTGAGGTTCCTTCTCGTTCTCCATGGCCAGCTCTTCGGAGCCTGGAAGCCTGCCAAGCTCACTTTCCCACCCGGGCTTTCAAGACCTCCTCGAGAGGACGCCCTGTGCCTTTGTGAGCGGCACAAGCCCTGTGTAAGGGCTTTATTGGTTTTCCATGTAACCTGAGGAACACTGGCCTCTCCCTCTCTCTACACTTTCTTTTCCACGAGACCGACCAACGCCAGGACAGACGCCTTTTGCCATTGGAGTGCTTTACATGCAACACTCCACTTGAGCTGGCCCCTAGATTAAGGTAAGATCCGGATGGTGTTCTAGAGGCTCCCTAGAACTCAACCCCTCCGGGTCCCAGGGACCTCCGGCCTAGAGCCACTCTGTAGGCGACGGTGGGGGATGCTCCACCTCGACAGAGAGCTCTCTTCTCATAACTCCTATTGCGACTATGAGTGACGACTCGAACTCCCAATAGGAGCCTCTGCTTGCCTTTCAATTATGGGGTCTGGCCAATCTGTCCCAAAAGATTCGCCTCTCGCCTGTGTTCTCAAGAATCTCAAACCACTCTTACTCACTGAACTCAAAGCTAACCACTTAGAACAACTCTATACAGATCTGGACTCAACACCAATTAGACAATCAAGACCGCTGGCCTGAGTTCAGGACTTTCGATTTCAGTATTTTATCAGGTCTCAGTAACTTCCTCAAACGGAATGGCAAACAGTTGGAGGTCCCCTATATTCAAGCCTTCTGAGACCTTAAAAGTCATCCTTTTCTCTGCAAAGACTGTTCTACCTATCAAATCTTCCTCAGCTCTCTCTCCCCCTCCATTACAAAAGAATCCAAATCTAAAGCCCCTGAAGCCTCAGCCCCCAATTTTGACCAAACAGATGAGCCTCCTCCCTACGGCCCCCCCCAAAAAGCTTCCGGAGATAAGACCCCAACCTCTAGCCCTTCCTCCTCCAAAACAAAAAGTGATGACTCCAAAACCCCAAAAGAGATTTCCACCCCCCTCCATCGGCCAGGACCTGAAGCAAACACATTTCCTCTCAGAGAGGCAGCGTGACCGGAGGGCCCTACATGGGTTCATGTGCCTTTCTCAATTTCTGATATGAGCCAAAATGCAGAAAAAATGAGATCCTTTTCAGAAAATCCTACTAGATACAGAAAAAAATTCCTTCGCCTTACACAAACATATCATTTAACCTGGAATGATCTTTATTACATTCTAAATGCCACTTTAACCCCTGATGAAAAAAAACGGATGTGACAGGCAGCCCAGACTCATGCTATTCAGCTCCATAACCAAGATAGGACTAATCCGGCGGCTGATGCTGCGGTCCCTTTAACTGAGCCACAGTTGTCATATCCAGCAGGTGATGCCAACATCCAGTACCTGCATCATAGGATCACCTGTTTACTAGAAGAAATGCTAAAAAGCTCTCACATTCATGTTAACTATGTTAAGATTAAGGAAGTGATTCAAGAAAAAGATAAAAATCCTGCCCTTTTTCTTTTACGGCTTACTGAAGCAATCCAAAAATACATTAATCTAGATATTTCCACCCCCGCTGGACTTTTGCACCTACATGTCCAGTTCATAAGCCAGTCAGCCCCCAATATTTGCCGAAAACTAGGCCAGTTAGAAAAGGGCCCCCAAAACCCCTCAGCGAGATCTCCTAAAATTAGCCTTTAAAGTTTTTTTTTTTTTCATTTATTTTTATTAGTTGGAGGCTAATTACTTTACATCATTGCAGTGGTTTTTGTCATACATGAAATGAATTAGCCATGGATTTACATGTATTCCCTAAAGTTTTCAACAATAGGGAGGAAGAAGCGAAAAAAGAAAAAGAAAAGAAATTAAAAGGCCAAATATGCTTTATTCGCTGCAGCTATCCAAAGAAAAACTTCAACCCCTTTGGCCCATCAACCTCAGCCCACCCATATGAGACCTCACCCTCCAGACCCCTGCTTCAGATGTAACCCAACGGGACACTGGGCTAAGTCTTGCCCAAAGCCCTGGCCACCCACCAAACCCTGCCCCACCTGCAAACAATGGGGCCACTGGAAAACAGATTGTTCTCAGCACTACCCATCAAAGCTCGGGGTCCACCCCAGGCCCAACAACAATGGGCCAGGAACCAGACTCAGGGAGGCCCTGGCACCCCAGACCATGGTTCCTTGGATGAAGTGAGAGATGATCCAATTGTGCCCGAGTTATTCCAGTGACAGAGCCCAAGCTCCAGACCTCAAGTCCGCCCCATGTAGATGGACTCAGGGCTTCGGGTAATTGACACGGTGGCCGGACACAAAGTCTCGTTTCTAACAGACACTGGAGCAGCCTTTCACTTTTAACCTCCTTTAATTAAGGGACCTCTTCAACCTTCAAAAGCGGCCGTCAAAGGGGTCTCAGACATCCCTTTCTATCCCAAAATAACCCCTCCTCTCCTTTGTTCCTTTGGCAAAACAACACTAACACATTCTTTTATAATAGTTCCTCAATGCCCGATGACATTGATGGGACGTAATCTTCTGGCCAAGCTACAAACTTCGGTAAACTTCCCATTCTTAGATCCCATATCAGTTCTTTGCTTCCAAATGGCACCCGAACCCCTGGCCATCTCTCACTCCCAAAACCTGCCCCCGTCTTCCCCCGACAGACCCTCCGGTCTGGACAGCGAAGCCCATCAGTAGCCAGACACCACACCCTGGTGCTGGTCTTTCTTAAAACCCATCTCAAGTAATAACCCAAACTCAGTATACCCTGACCACAGAATCCCGACAAGGACTTCAAACAATAATCCCAACTCAAGAGATTTCAGGCCGTGACACAGACCCCCAGGCCCCAGACCAAGAGAAAATCTGTCTCTATCAGGTCTATTAAACTTCTTCTAAGCATGGGTCCCACATTCTGCCCTCCATGCAAAACCTCTCTACTAAGCTACTCAAAGAAACTTAGATGATCCCTTATTGGCCCCCACCTCTCTTGACACCCCAATACAGACTCTTATCAAACATTTACTACAGGCCCCTTCTCTTTACTTACCTGATTACACCAAGCCTTTTTTCCTTTGTGTACATTCTCGGCAAGGACATTAGAGATTCTGTGCCAAAAAAAGGGGGGACATATGGGGCCCTCTGGCTTACTTATCTAAACAACTCGATCTCGTCATGCTCAGATGGCCACCTTGTCTCCAGGCCTTAGCTGCAACCACCCCCTTAATACCTGCAGCCCAAAAACTAACCCTATGGCCTTGTAAACCTCTTAATCCTGCTAGCTTACTCCCTACACCAGATCCAAAAGCAGAACACCTATTCATGACTGTGTTCAGACCTTAGATATGACACTTGATCCCTGTGAACATATAACTGACCCCACAGTCCCATCCTGGTTCATAGACGGCACTGCCCAGAAACCGGCCCCATTTGGGGCTGGACACGTTACAGTCCAGGGCAGCCGACAAAGCCACCCCCTCACCTCACCAAGCCAGCCACACTCCCAGCTCACACATCCCCACAGCAGGCTGAACTGATAGCTCTTACGCAAGCTTTGACCCTACCCAAAGACCAGAAGATAAACATTTACACTGACTCCAAACATGTCTACAACATGTTACATTCTAACATTATAGTCTGGAGAAAGAGATTCCTCACTCAAAAAGACACACCTATTCCCAATGCTTCTTTTATTTCTGAACTCCTCCATGCGGCTCAGCTCCCAAAACAAGCTGCTGTAATACACTGCTGGAGACATCAGTGACATAGTCCTGTCTCCTTTTATAACGACATAACAGATCACGACACAAAACGGCCGGCCACCTCTGTCAGTCCTGTCTTTACTACAGCCTAGACTGATGAGCCTAACATCCACACACTACTTTCATATTTACATTCCCTCTTCCATCCCTCTACAAAAGTACTTAAGGCTTTCCTTCAAAACTGTTAAACTGACTAAAGACGATGTGACTGATTTAAATACTCTGACCCAAACTTGTACCATCTGTTAGCAGACAAATCCTAACATTCGCCCCCCTCCTTTCCCCACCCACCAAATTCACAGACATCTTCCTGCACAAGACTGGCAGCTAGATTTCACCCACATGCCACCTGTAAAAAGGGTTAAATTTCTCCCAGTCTTCACAGATACATTTTCTGGATGGATCGAAGCTTTCCCGACTACTAGCAAACGAGCCCCTACTGTGGCTCAGCTTATTCTTACTGAAGTTCTCCCAAGATTTGGAATGCCTTCCTCCCTCCAGCCTGACGACGGGCCCAAACTCACATCCCACATCACCCAGACGAGTGCACGAGCCCTTCATGTTCCTTGGAGGTTTCACACTCCTTAACATCCCCAGTCCTCCAGTAAGGCTGAGCCAACCAAGTCCTAAAAGAAACTGACCAAATTAACCATCAGACTTCATCAAGACTGGACTAAGCTCCTCCCTTTAGCCCTCTTAAAGGTTGGGGCCTTACCAAAAACCCCTTATATATCAGTCCGTTTGAGGCCATGTATGGGAGGCCCATAATATCTTTGGGTCTTCCCTACTCCCAGGACAGTCCCCAACTGCCTTCCCACCTTCCCTTCCCTTTACTTGCCCAGATACATGATGCCCTTTGGCAACATAGAGATAACTTACTCCCTCGACCACACCCCAATCTTCCATACCCATCCCTTCAAATAGGAGACAAAGTCTATATGACAGTTCAGTCCCACTCAGATCTAACTCCAAAATGGCAAAGACCCTACACGGTAATTCTGCTGACCCCTACCACTGCAAAATTAAAAGAAATCACCCCTTGGGTATACATCACCTGGTTAAAAAAGGTTATACAGCCCAATGGTGAAAATGCTCGCCAAACTAATGCTTAACAACTTTCTCACACCGGCCCTAAAACTCTAAAGTTCTCATAGTTTCCACTGGCCCCAAATGGCGAAGGATGAGCCTCTCGGTTTCACGGCTACAATTATTCCCGGAACAACTTCTGGCAGATATCTGGGTCTCAAGGAGCCACGCTCGAACACTCTGGAGATTACATCTCCACCCTGTGGCTACAGAAAACCTTTGATAACTTTTGCCCCATCTCAGACCATTCATTTTTATCATGCTCCTACTCACCTTTGGGCCTTGTTTGTTCAATCTTTTCCTGAGATTCCTCCAAGACCAAATCTGAGCCATTTCTAAAGACTAAGTAAGTCAAGACTGTCTTGCTTGAGACCCCGATGGCTAGAATAGAAAATCAACACTACGGGACTTGGACTTCCCGCCTGCCAGACCACCAACCCCCGACCCTCATTTATCAGCTCGAATAAGCCCTGAACCTTAACGGCGCCCACCTCTCTTTCTCTCTTTGGATATATTCCTTAGGGGCTGGAATGAGGGAAAGTTACATGGCTCAAAATAGCCTGGAGTTAAAATTCCCCTCCAGGTCCTCCCCACCATTCTATGCAAAACAACTCTAAACCCGAAAAAAATGGACATTAAGGCTGATTAAGCTGAGCTCCCAGCCAGTACAGCCTCTCGCCAATCTCCAAAATTCCTTGCCCCAGCCCTTTAAGAGATAACTACTCTGAACAACCTTGGAGAAGAACAGGCCCCCTTGATACAGTAACTTTCCACATACATGCCTATATACACTTACTCTTTTCTTGGGTTAGTGCACAGCTCACTCATCTGCCCCTTCTCGCCTCATTAAAGGTGATCTGTTCCTGTAAAGTGCCGCTCTCGTTCTATTTCTGAATCTTGCGTCTCTAACTCCCTTACCCTACACCCACGAACGCTGGACGGCTCTGTGCTGAAAGAGCTTTGCAAAGTCACCCTGCCTCCATGTCCCCCCGGGGTTCTGCTTCCCAGTTTCAGCCTTCTCCTTTGCACTCATTCAGCTTCCTAAGACATGCGCCTCAACAGAGCATTCCTGCAGGGGTTCTGATGTGACTGGGGGCCGGAAGGGTCAAGGGGAGGAATCAATGACCCTCAAGCCCTCATCAGTTGGTCGTGGCAAACAAACTGCAAAGTACAGTCCAACCCAGAAGCACACCTTTTGTTCAGGCTTAGCCTCTCCCCATTCTAGATCGGCGTGAAGAAGTGCTGCCGCCTTGTGGACATTTCTGGGAACAACAACTCTCAAACCTGGTGCTTCAGGCTATAGGCATTCCCAAGGCCTGCGGGGGGGCCCTAGATCATCCCCGCCCTGGAGAAACATCCCGTGGTTGGCAGTACTAGAAGAATGCAAAAGTGTGCCTAATGTCAGAGCCTACTTCAAGGCGAAAATTCTCCTCACTATTACCACATGTCAACAAGCCTGGGGAGTTCTGCAGCCTCTCAACCACAAAGACAACCGCCTTGCAAAAGGACAACCGAGGGTGCATCTGGCGCTGGTCCTCCGCTCCCTCGACAAACAGCCAGTGTTTGAGGCCACGTGGAGAGAACAGAACCCCTTGTGTTGCTGCACAGAATGGAGACTGTTAACAGTCTTGCTACAGACACGGTCTGCAGGTTCGTTCAGAGGCAAAGAACACACCTACCAGGAGATCACTACATCACACTGCCTGGCTGCTAAAGCGATAAAACCACTCTCCATCACATCTGAACCCCAATGTCTCTGGCAGCTCTCCACAGAAGAGCCAAGCATCGGAAAACACCAAAATGTCCATTCACAGACGAATGGATATGGAAGATGGCCTACATACATGCAATGGATGATGACTCAGACAGAAGCACCTAGAAAATCATGCCAGTTCTTCCGCATTGATAGCCCTTTCAGATGATCACACTGACTCAAGGAAATCAGATAGAAACATGAACAGTATACATAATACAGCATTCAGGCAGAATCGAAAAGTATCAAGAATAAACCAATTCACCCAACAGATACAGATTGCCAGACAGAGACATCAAACTGAGTCTTGGCAAAGGGACATTTGGAATGACGGGAGAGGTAATTGAAGAGGTTTGATTAAAACAAACCAAATTTGAGTGACATAGGGAGGTGGATATATATGCTGAGAAAAATGGAGGTGGAGATGTGGAAAGATAAGACTTCTGGATCAATAGGTATAGCTGTAAATATAGGGACAGGTAATTGTTTATGTAGATACATTGGTAGATATAAAGAGTAATCTCTATCAATAGACACCTACACAGAGATTCAGAGATAAAATCTAAGATACGGTGGTATAGAAATAGCTGGATATAGAAAGATTGGATCCATGTATATGTATGAGTGGATCATATAGGTATATAGACAAAGCTAGTCAAGGTGATGGAATTACAGTTGAGCTATTTTAAATCTTAAAATATGATGTCAAAGTGCTGAACTAAATATGCCAGAAAATTTGGCAAAGTCAGCAGTGGCCACACAACTAGAAAATTCAGTGTTCATTCCAGTCCCAAGAAGGGCAATGCTAAAGAATGTTCAAACTACCTCACAACTGCACTCATTTCACTTGTTAGCAAAGTAATGCCCAAAACTTGCCAAGCTAGTCTTCAATAGTACGTGAGCCAGGAACTTCAGCTGTTCAGCTGGATTTAAAAAAGGCTGAAGAGTTAGAGATCAAATTGCCAACATCGCTGGATCACAGAAAAAGCAAAAGAATTCCACAACAACATCTACTTCTGCTTCATCGACTACACTAAAGCCTTTGTGTGGATCACAATAAACTGTGGAAAATTCTTAGAGAGATGGAAATACCAGACCACCTGACCTGCCTCCTGAGAAATCTGTATGCAGGTCAAAAAGCAACAGTTACAACCAGACATGGAACAAGGGTCTGGTTACAAATTGGGAAAGCAGTACATCAAGGCTGTATATTGTCACCTTGTTTATTTAACTTATACGCAGAGTACATCATGTGAAATGCTTAGAGAGATGAAGGACAGCTGGAATCAAGACTGCAGGGAGAAATAACAATAACCTCAGATATGCAGATGACACCAGCCTTATGGCTGAAAGCGAAGAGGAACTAAAGAGCTTCTTGATAAAAGTGAGAGAGGAGAGTGAAAAACCTGGCTTAAAATGGAACATTCAGAAAACTAAGATCATGGCATGCAGTCCCATCACTTCATGGCAAACAGATGGAGAAACAATGCAAAGTGTCAGACTTTATTTTCTTGGACTCCAAAATCACTGCAGATGGTGACTGCAGCCATGAAATAAAAAGACACTTGCTCCTTGAAAGAAAAGCTATAACAAACCTACACAGTGTATTAAAAAGCAGAGACACTGATCAGGGAACTAAGATCCCACATGCCTTGTGAAGCAGACAAAAAATAAATAAATAATAAAATTTGGGAATTAAAAAAAAAAAGAAAAAAGCAGAGACATTACTTTGCCAACAAAGGTCCATCTAGTCAAAGCTATGGTTTTTCCAGGAGTCATATATGGATGTGAGAGTTGGGCCATAAAGAAGACTGAGGACCAAAGAATTGATGCTTTTGAACTGTGGTGTTGGAGAAGACTCTTGAGAGTCCCTTGGACTGCAAGGAGATCAAACCAGTCCATCCTAAAGGAAATCAACCCTGAATATTCGAGGGACTGATGCTGAAGCACCAATTTGGCTACCTGATGCGAAGAGCTGACTTATTAGAAAAAACCCTGATTCTGGGAAAGACTGAAGGCAGGAGAAGAAGGATACGACAGAGGATGAGAGGGTTGGATGGCATCACCGACTCGATGGACATTAGTTTGAGCAAGCTCCGGGAAATGGTGATGGACAGGGAGGCCTGGCGTGCTGCAGTCCATGGGGTTGCAAAGAGCTGGACACGACTGAGCGACCGAACCGACTGACTGTGTGTAAGACACTGTTCAGGCCTCGTGGAGCTGACAGTCTGGTGGGAGACTGTAGAGAGATTGCAACTGTTTAGGACCCGAGCTGGGGAGAAGAGCGGGAGGACGCGAATCAAGAAGCCGTTCCTGAAGGACGAGTAGCTCAACAGGCAGAGAAAGCGCTCCTACCCACCTCTGACTGGAGACTGCTGGAGCTTAAAAGAGGTAGGCTCAGACCGACTCTTAGAAATCTGAAATGGGCGTAAGCTAATATTCTAACACACAGGCCGCATTTCACATGGCGCACACTCCTCTTCTAGCCCCTAAACACGCCGCTCAGGTGCACCAGGGCTGAGGACTCCCATTGCCGTCTCTTCCACTCCTCCCGGCCCTCCTCACTCGTGGTGTTATCCTACCTAGCGTTTCTGACAACCTTTCCCTTTTCTGCCTTTTCTTCTCCACACAGGCACACACAGGGAATGCAGGTCAAACTCACGGCGACTTGAATCTAGTACATCTAACAATGCATCTGCCCCCAGAGCAGACTGGAATCAGGGACACTGGTCACCCAGGATCAGTCCCACCTCAAGAGCAGCCCATCTGATGCCCCAGATTCCTGCTTCTCACTGAGGCTTAACATTGCAGACACAGCTCTGCTGCTCCAGTTTCCATCCAGAATATAGTCCCTCTTCCAAAATCAGACTTGCAGAGCCTGACAGGAAACACCAATTCACATTCCATTTAAAATGATCACTTAATCCACCATGAAAGGAAAAAAATGTCCTGCCATGGCTCCACCCCAATTCTTGGTCATCCTTCTCAGAGCAGCTCAGAGACCAGAGTTCTGATAAAGTTCTGGAAACTTTGTCACCTTTGTGACTGGATCTGGCATTTATAATTTTTGATGCTCAAATTCAGATTAAAGAGAGGAAAAGTGAAAGTGAAAGTCGCTCAGTCGTGTCCGACTCTTTTGTGACCCCATGGACTATACAGTCCATGGAATTCTCCAGGCCAGAATACTGGAGTGGGTAGCCTTTTCCTTCTCCAGGGGATCTTCCCAACCCAGGGATGGAACCCAGGTCTCCCGCATTGCAGGCGGATTCTTTACCAGCTGGGCCACAAGGGAAGCCCAAGGGAAGGAGAGGAAAGGACTTGGAATTTGGCGGGTAGATTTTATCTTTATTATCCATGATAATGAAAGAGAAGAAACAAAGATAATCTCTACTCCCATGAAGGCAAGTCTGAACTCTAAATCCTCCTGGTAAAGATGAACACAGAATAGCCAGTCCCCAACACTGAATACATAGTCCCCAGCAGATCACAGCAATCAACTCTTATAATGTGTGGATCTTAGCAGTGTCTTAAACACATACCTGTGAGCATGCAGTAGATCCTCATGAACCATTCCTTTTGTGAGTGAATACTTGTTGTCCCCCACAACAGTCTTGCTCAGACTCCACTGCTTTCCCCAGGTCCTGCTCAACTGGCAGCTGGTGAGCAGAGAAGGTCATCTTTTCAGAAGGTGGTGGTGGTCTTCACTGGGAACAGCAGTATTTGTGTTCAGATAGGGTGGTTGTGTGTAAGGCACTCAGGCGCTGTTCTTGATTTCTCTAGATTAATCCTGCTGGAAATGAGGTAAGCAACTTCAGTGGTCATTCAAATGTCAAATTAATGACCTTCATCCCAGATTTGGACAGTCATAACCTCCGAGTATGGGGCCCTAGTATCTGTTTTTTAATGAGATCCTTAAGTGATTGCTATAGATGGGAAATTCTGATAAGCAATGTTCAAAGTCATTTTCATCTTTGACTCCCCACTGGGATCATCTGTGTGTTTTTTAGAAATACCAGCAGACCTTCTGTCAATTAGTTTTTGGCAGGGTCCAGGATCAGCGATATCTTAACGAAGTGGCCCAGGTTATTCTATCGTGAGGCTGGGTAAACACTGGGAGGCTCCAGGTTCATTTCTGAGACCCAGTGGAGGGTCTGGTCCCTGGGGAAGCCTGCTCCACACAGAGGTAAATAGGGAACAGTCAGTCTCTGCCTCACGTTCCTGGTGTCACAGAGGATGTGCAGGTGTCTCTAGGAGACAAGTGAGGAGAAACTCACACAAACTCTATAAGAACTCTGTACATGCACAGATTTTCTCAGGCCCCCCCAAGCAATGGAAGAAGAGTTAGAACATACCTCGCTGGGTGTGGGGAAGCCTTTGGTTCTCACTCCGATTGCCATGGAAGATCACAGGAGCAAAAGGAAAACCCTTAGAGGACTGAGGAACAGGATATGAGTGGAGCAGGAGAGGTACCTCTGTGATGGCAAGACATATAAACCTGGACTTCTCAAAGTAATTCCCATTGAAGCAGAGGCTCCCAAACAACATTTTAAAGCCTCGGTTTCTCCTTCGCCTTTGGACATCATCCCTACGCAGTCTGCTTTATTCATCCCCACCTACCTGGGTGCAATACTGTTGTCTCCTTTTCTTCACATCCCAGGGCTCCTTTCTTTGCTCAAAAAAGGTAACCAGCTTCAGCTTAGAGACAGCAAGATCTGTTTATTAAAAAAAAAAAAAGGAACATGGCTCATACCCAAGGTTCTACAATTTCCAATCTAGTACAGTGTTCAGTAGAGAAGATAGGCCACTATAAGTTTTAGAAAATTTCATCAAATAGCATTTCCTGACAGCCCCTTTAAAACACTTAGGAAGCATTTTTTTTTTCCATTTATTTTTATTAGTTGGAGGCTAATTACTTTACAATATTGCAGTGGTTTTTGCCATACATTGACATGAATCAGCCATGGATTTACATATGTTCCCCATCCCGATCCCCCCTCCCACCTCCCTCCCCACCCCATCCCTCTGGGTCTTCCCAGTGCAACCAGCCCCGAGCACTTGTCTCATGCATCCAACCTGGGCTGGCGATCTGTTTCATACTTGATAATACACGTTTCAATGCTATTCTCTCAGATCATCCCACCCTCGCCTTCTCCCAGAGTCCCAAAGTCTGTTCTATACATCTATGTCTCTTTTTCTGTCCTGTATATAGGGTTATCGTTACTACCTTTTTAAATTCCATATATATGCGTTAGTATACTGTAATGGTCTTTATCTTTCTGGCTTACTTCACTCTGTATAATGGGCTCCAGTTTCATCCATCTCATTAGAACTGATTCAAATGTATTTTTTTAATGGCTGAGTAATATTCCATTGTGTATATGTACCATAGCTTCCTTATCCATTCGTCTGCTGATGGGCATCTAGGTTGCTTCCATGTCCTGGCTATTATAAACAGTGCTGCGATGAACATCGGGGTGCACGTGTCTCTTTCAGATCTGGTTTCCTTGGTGTGTATGCCCAGGAGTGGGATTGCTTTAGGAAGCATTTCTAATTTGCAGTTCCTTAACTCTACTCCTAAGTAGTATTCAGTCAAAACTAAGGAATACACATGTATACACGTGGCTGAGTCCCTCTGCTGTTCACCTGCTCTACCCCAATACAAAATAGAAAAGTTTTTTTTTAAAGGAATAGATATCTGATCTTAAGACATGGGCAACATCTCATTTCATTTTAAATATCTAGAATGATCACTGATCAAGAGTGAAAGAGCCAGATCAACTCAAGACATGAGGATAAGATGAAACATCCTAAAGATTCTTTTTTGCATCAACAAACCCCTATTTCCTTAAAATGATTTCAGTTCTCACCTGTGCTGATTGTAGCATTTTAAGGTACCTGAATATATACTATAGGACTCTTGTTTTCTTTTCCTGGAGATACAAACTGTAATAAAACGAATTCCTGTACATGACTATGGAACAAAATTGCAATTTACAGAACATTTACTTACAAAAGCCTGAACAAAGGAGAGAGCCTCCACTTTTCAAAGCCATTTACAAGTAAAGGAAAATGAAGCAGTCAGGGGGAGTATTCACATGAAATGTGGTGGGCTTTAACACCCATCTCTCAGTAAATCCCTCCAAGACCCTATTAGCGATGACGGGGAAATCATGAGCTTTTCAGTCAAGGAACCTGGGCAGACAGCCCCTGAATCAAACAAATAAAATTAACATTAGCTGTAATGGGACAAATTGGTATCAGCTGACCAATGCACACATCATCAGTGCTGGGATAGTTTGACAAAAAACAACGATGAGGGCAAACAAAAAAACATTAATCTAGGATATCCCCAGAGGTCCAGTGGTTAAACCTCTGCCTTCCAATGCAGCGGGTGTGGGTTCAATCCCTAGTTGGGGAATTAAGATCCCACATGCTATGCAGTTTGGCAAAAAAATTAATCACAAGAGCAGGTTAAACATACTTAAAACCATATGTAACTGTCATGTCCTGTACTTGTGTATATTTTAAATAGGAAGTCTTTCCTTGAGGCAACTGAGAGCTCTTTTTCAGAACTCTGAGTTATTCTAAGACATGCAGCGACAGCTTTACAGCCACACTTTCATCATCCTTGTCTGTACAAACTGATGCTACCTCCAGACAGGACCGAGACATTACATATTCTCCTTCACTGATATGCCAGGACCCACCCTCACAACCAGTGGGAATCTTGTGTATCAACACATCCCCAAGTTGACCTGACAAAAAGGAACATTTTCAACACTTGCACATTGCTAATTCATGGCAGGAATTCCTCACGCTCTGAAGAGAACTTGGATGGAGAAAATGGAGAGAAGGCGATGGGATATGAGAGGAATACCCTAAAGAGCTAACCAGGGGTATTACCAGGAAAAAAAAAAACTTATTAAAAACTAAATTTGTCAGCACCACCAAAGGTCAGAAGTAAATGTTCATGATTTCTAAGTACAAGGGATTTCAGTAAGAAAGGGGGACACAGCCTCTGATGTGGATCACAAACTTCACCTGAAAACCTGCCATTTCTTCCTCTTCCTGCTCCATTTCTAGGCCCCTCTCTCCGGCCACATTACGCAGAGAAATCCCACCTGTTCCTCTTTGACAGCATCAGCTCTGCACTTCCACCTGCTCCTATGCTGAGGCAGGTGACCCTGGAAATGCAGAAAGGCCACAGCTCCCCATCCTTTGTCAGGTGACAGATTCAGGAAAAAATGAGCTCCTCCATCTCCTTTCCCGTTTTCCTAAGCCCTTCCATCTCAGAGTCAGCCACTAAAGCTGCGACAGCAATGGGGACTGTGGGTGGCACTGGCCTGACCCACCCACACACACTATTACCTTTCCTCAAGCCAAAGGCTGGACTCAACTCAGTGCCTCTAACCAACACAGAGCCAATGACAGGCAAAGCAATATTAAAGATAAATGGATGCAGAAGAAAATGGCAACCCACTCCAGTAATTCCTGCCTGGGAAATCCCACGGACAGAGGAGTCTGGCAGGGTACAGTTGCAAAAGAACCTGACATGAGTTAGCAACTAAAACAACGAGAAAGAAACTTCCAAAGGTTTTGCTCTGGCCCAATGGAGACACATGACGAGCTCAGGATAATGTCGTGGGCAGCACGACTGGAAAGACCAGTGGGAGGGAACATCGTCTTTGAACGCGGCCCTGTGTTGAGATGCACATGAGATTTTTTGATATGAAATATGTCAGTAAAGTAAGAAGAAGTGAGTACCTGTGGATGTGTCATGTGAATGGAAAAGCAGATTTTGATTTTGCTATCCACCAGGGACCCAACTGCAATTTTCTCACATCCTTTCTTTTTCTCCAAATCTGCTTTGCTGAAAGTTGCAGAAAAGGAAGCAGGTGAAGATGTAGATTGAATGTCGTCAATCAGTGGTGGATTCATATTAGTTCTCAAGGTGGAAGCAATGATTTTTAAAACCCACTGATTAAAAACAAACATTCCAAACGGTGTCTGGGAAATACCGTTTACTTATGAGTTAAAAAGTCTCTTTTCTCAGACTTTTAAATTTAATCTTTTGTGTAATAAGGATCTATATATTCAGAGAAAGGTTTTCTTTTGAAATCACAGACATTTGAAAAAGATTAAGTACCTCTTCATTTGATACGTTTCCTGTTTCTAACCTTAGGAATAGTATTTGATGAAAACGACATTTTAAATTTATGTTTGACATCTGTCCCCCTCCATTTTGCTTTATGACTTCTTCATTTAATAATAAATTATCTTAAAAAAAATAAAGATAAAATGGAAAAAACAAACTTCTCAAGTGTTGGAATCTCAAAGATAGCATATGAACCAGTAAAGATCAGAAGTCAGAGGATAAATGGATAGCAGACAACTAAAGCACAAGGAAGGACACTGCCTGGGTGTTTTGGGGAAAAATAAAAAATCTTAACCTGAAACAATCATGAAAATGTCACTTTTTTTGCGAATTTCAACCCATACAAACTTCCCATATTATGTGTTCCTAACAGTTCATTTAAATAGCAAGACTTTCCTAACGATAGAAA